TCTTTAATATTTAAAGACTTAATATTTTAGGATGTAACAACAAATTCTTGTTTACTTTAAAAAGATTCATGCCAAAACCGCAGATAGGAGATAGGTGGTTTTAAATTTGTGATTACACGAGCATAAAATTTTCTACTTACTGTCTTCTACATACTATACAGAAGTATAATATATAATATGTATATATTTTATAAGATATTATATAATATTTGTATAATATATATTCTATAAACAGAATATTTGAGTTACTGTAGAGTATATTAGTTATAATGTATTTTTCATGTGAAAGTAACATGAGATTATTTTTGACCCATTTTAACTGGACTATAGGTAAATTTTGCAGTTAGGTGTATTTTCTGTGGCTGTTACGAATGACCCCATATTCAGACATTCTTTAAAAACGAGCTTCGAATAAAGGTTGGTAAAGTCCCTTTTATTTAGAGCATTGGAATAAAGTATATCACATCATTGTCTAGCCATATCTACCTGTCAAATGAAATATACTTGTTTGTAAGGTAGCAAACAAAACACCCCTCTCAGTGTGTACCACTTTCCACTTTGCTTCGTGGAAAAGGGGATGGTGTTGAAATCATTGGAGGCAAGACCCAGGCTGGTCAGTCTTGGCGGTCTGGCAGGGAGGGGCCCGCTGCGTCCTCACATTCCCATTCCGAGCGCTGCTCCTCAGGAGACGGCTGCCATCAGTCATCTCACGTACGGTTGGAAAAAGGCTTGTCTCGCTAGCGAGCAAACTGTTATTTAAGTACACAATCCACTCGACTACTGAAACAGTTTTGCCAAACTTATCCAAGTATTCTCACATGCTTAAAGATGGCATAAATATCATTTACGGCGAGCAGTTTTCTTCAGACTCCATGGAATGCCTTCCTGCCGCCTGATCTAAGTGTCCCAGTTTACATTATGGCCTTTACTGCCTCTGTTTGATGGAGTGATCAGTAAAAATTTAATGACACTATAAAATAATAAAAATGTCATTAATTTACCACGGATCTCGGATACAGTGGTTGTAAAGTTACATTAATAAACAGAATATTTTTTACAACAAAAAGCATTGTTACGTGGGAACGTATAAATAACACACATAAATTTAAGAGCAATTTTACTGTTAGCACACACATTATTATGGAATAGCCAATAAGTGTATAAAACATAGTATATAAAATTTTATTAAAATATACTGTGCACATCAAAAATTCAGCTTTTATCTAAGCGCAAAGAAAAACCATTATTGTGTGCTTACTGTTTCGTGGCTGTTCTTCCCCCCTATCACAATTTTACATTTGTTGCCAGTAAGAGGAAGTAGATTTTTTTTTTTTTTTTTCCCTGGATGGAAACAAACCTCTGTTCTTTCAGTTATCCCAAACCCATTCTCTCTCTCCACTGACGCAAAGACAACATTGATCAATCTTGCCATAGGAGGGAGGGAAAAGTTGCTAATATAATGCAAAGTTAAAAATGATGCCTGAGGAGTTGAATGGTCTGTGCAGTGACTCTGGAAATAGGGATAATAATGTGGCAGTCTATCTGTCACCAGTGAGGCTGCCCGCCATTGCCTCAGATAACACGGGAAGGTGATGGATGCCTGGGTCTTGTGGCTTGTAACATTTAACATTCATCAACTCTCACTAAAGGGGGCTTTATCATTTAAATATCTTTATTTAATATGCAACATCTACCTCATACATCATAATTTCAAAGCACTTAGCCAAAGTCCTGCAACACGGCAGAGCTGACTTTCATTTCTTCCAATAACTTTTATGTTGCCTGCATGTTTGTGGCTGACAATGTTTAAGTGTCTGATCACATAGTTGCATGTCAAATACACATTTCTCTGTCAATATGGAGATGGGGAGATTTTCCTGGAGGTTTGAGATTAAGTTAGCATGGGGGTGTTTATATTTTGCTTATATCTCCAAAATAATCTTACTTGGGAACTATGTACATTGTGGGAGCTAGTTCAAGTGCATGAACAAAATTTGGAGTGAAGACCTTTCTGCCCACAGTTTATATTTGTTCCATACATGGGCATGCCCATTGGCACTTAATGGCTAGAAGTTGAAGCCTCTTGTCACTAAAGTATCCTTGAACATCTCTCTGTGCCCACATCCACATCCTGTATTTACTAGACTCATGTTCAACCTCACCAATAAAATCTTTGCTTCGCTCAGCTGCCCAGAGCTAACTCGTAGACATCAGGCCCTCTTATCTGATGGTTATGTGGCTGGCAAATAAATATTCTGAGCTATTCTTTGAAGAATAGAAGGAAATCTTCTGGGAGACTAGGTAGAAATGTATATGAAAGGGCATGGCTTGGCGGGGTCCTACTTTAATCTCAAACACAAGTGCTTAATATTACCAAATATAAAATGCAGCCCACCACCCAAAACAGTTTTTTTTCCATTGATTTATTTTCTGTCTATTTAACAAGTATTTCATGGGGTATTCTTCCTTGACTTCTTCCGTGTCAAAATATTGATGTTTTATAAGGAAAGTATCTCTGCAGAAGGATTTTTTTCAGTGAAGTCAGAAAAACGCATGGCTTCAGAGACATCGTGAACGTGTTGTCGAATGTTCTGAATTTTTTTTTTTTTGTTATGATGAAAAACAAGCTGATGCTACTGAATTGTGAGCGCACTTCATTTTTTTTTTTGAAAAGAAAATATATCATCATCATGTAAGCTTTGTTGTCTTAGGATTTTACAAACCATGGCATGTAATTTTCCCTCTTCTCCTTCCTTGTCAAAATATTGATATTCTTTCAGGAACTTTATTTATTTATTTATTTTTTACTGAGAATATTTTGCAGTAAAATCAAAGAGAATGACTGACTAGAAAGATACTTGGAATATGCATACTGATGGGTAGTAAGGTCTGTTGATTTTCAGAGGAAGTTGTTTCTCTTCTCCCCCCTCTCCCCCCATGAAAATACAGCTAAAGGTTGTTCTTCCAAGAAGATTGCAGGTGTCACATGAGAACTCTTTTTGCATTTAACACAGGGAAAGGGTTCACATACAAATGTCTGAAATTCGAAACAACGTGATAAAACAAAGGTTGCATATTTAGCTTTCCCTGGTACTATTCATCTCCACTGTAACTCTCTTCCTTTACACCAGGGCAAACAAGCGTGCTCTTCAAAAATAGAAATTGGCTAATTAAAAGCAGCTGTCTTTGCCCTGGCAATTTGGCTCAGTGGATAGAGCATCAGCCTGCAGACAAATGTGTCCTGGGTTCGATTCTGGTCAAGGGCACGTACCTCAGTTGCAGGGTCCTCCCAGGCCTGGGCCCTGGTCAGGGCACATGCAGGAGGCAACCAATCGATGTGTTTCTCTCACGTGGATATTTCTTTCTGTCTTTCCCTCTCTCTTCCACTCTCTCTAAAAATCAATGGAAAAATATCCTCGGGTAAGGATTTAAAAAAAAAAAAGCAGCTGTCTCCCCCTGACAACATGTGAAACCACCGCATGGCTTCTGGGTACATTTTGTTGTGTCTTGTGTCTGGGTCAATTTGTTCTTGCGTAGCACTGTTTTCACCTACGAAGATATGGGGAACCATACCTAATTTGCTTTTTATTTTCATTCTTTTTTAAATTAATATTTCAGAGGTTTCCCTACATTGTAACTAGTTAGTATTGATAACCCAGTTGGTGAAATTCATGATTATAATTTTGTTGCACATCTTTCATAGAAATGGTGCTAGGTTAAAGCAAGGTTTATGCTGTGTTTTCTTCCAACACAGATTTCAACACATCCCATGCTGAAGGGGAATTGGAAGACTTCCTGCACAATTTGACTGATGGGAATTAATTATAGAAATATAATGATATTCAAAAATAATCATATTAGAAAGCACAAACGTAGTGAGACTGTACAAATAAGAGACAGCCTCTATCAAGTAATTGTATGTTTGCTCTTTAAGAATATCTCCAAGTTTCTAAACATCTTACAGAAGGGAGCACTCGGAGTATTTCCATCTAATACCAAACATGCTCAGTCCAGAACTAGGTCATTGAACAATAGACTGCACAGCAATCAGCACTCGACTGCTGCATAATGCATTAAGTATAACATGCAGAAACCATTCCCGGAGCTGCAAGCTGCTACTTCATGTCTGTAAATTCAAGCTGACATGACATTTAATATTGTTTCGTAGTAATGAACAACAAGGTTTCATTCATTCATAAGCACAACACAAAGCCGTAACACAAAGTCTGGAGAGTATCAAGGAGGCGAGAAGGGGACACGGGCTGTTTCCGTAGATGATAACACCCTATTAATGATGGCCAGTGAGCCCTCTGCCACCAATCTGGAGAGCTGCGAGGGGGAGTTCGGTGTGGTATTTCAGACTCCCGCTTCTAGAGAACCAGTTAAGGGTTTCCCTCCTATAGCGGCAGGAGTAGTTCACTTTCTTGACTCAATGCCTGGCTAGGAGTAATGTCCTCCTTTGCCTGCCCCAGGAACTTATGGTTGAAACTCCTAGGCAAAATAATAGTGTCAATGCATGCTATCATCTAGTTTGCCTGCTTTGAAATATTTGTTTCTGAAATCCTGATTTGTACTTTCCCAGGAATACCAGTGCCACATATGATCTCTAAATGGGAATGTGCCTCTCCCATTAAATAGCAGTACATCTATTTTAAAGGGAACTGCTCTCACAAGTTTGGCACTTTTGTCTGAAACTTCTAGATTGCATTCCTTTTAGATTCCTGTAGCCAGCACAACAGCAAGAAGATGCACAGTACAGCGCTGGCAGGTTTCCAGTCCCAGGTTTCCTTCCCTTCCAGGTACTGTGGTTTAGAACTGGCCAGCACTGTCAGGGCCAGCACCCAGCTTCCACGGAATCTTCCTGAAAGATGTTTTGAGCCCACGGTGAACAGAAATGATGTTTGCACATCTAAGTTTTGCCCACTAAGCAAGACAGAAACTGGAAGGAAACGTGGCTGTTTGGGAAGCTGGAATAAGACTCTGACTGTTCTTTCCTCTAGGAAAGAACGCGCTTTGAGAACTTGGGGCCCCAGCTATCAGGCAAGTCCAGTGAAGATGGGAAGCTGGGCCCAGGTGTCATCGACCTCACTCGGCCAGAAGACGCAGAGGGTGAGTGGCTTTTCCTGCAGCTCTTTCCTGCTGCCCCGGGTGTTTCTGGAGGTGTGTCTGAGCTATAGGATCTTCATGGCCTTTCTTGGAAGTACCAGCTCGGTTTTCTTGGCAAAGCAGAGCAAATGTTAGTCTTCATCGTATGTTATAATCGAGGATTTTGAGATGTAGCTAGATCCTATATAACTGGACACTCAGCAATCCACATACTTCAAGGTGCCATTCTACTTTTAAACTAAAAGGACCCTCTGCCTTCCAATGAACAACAGAATTCTGTTTCAATCACTTCACTGCATTCTTGTTAAAAAAGGAAAAAAGGACAAACCTATAAAGGAGGATTTTTTTAACACCCCAAATCAAGAGATCTCCAGGTGCAATCAAACAATTTTGGGAACTAAATGGCGGTTTGAGCAGATTTGGCATAAAATTAGTAATGACTTGGGTAAGGCCCAGCCTGGGTGTGGGTGCTAACCATGAATAAAGTCTTTGGAAGGCTGGAAGGAGAGACTAGCTTCACTCTCAGTGGGTTTGCCCGCAGCACTATCAATGCCTGTCCACTCTTCTGCACTTTCTGTTTGTTTGTTTTAAATGCACAGCAGCAAATCAGCAGAAATTGCTCCCCAGAGGCAGGGTACGATTTATGAGTTAGGCCAGCACTTCAGTAGTGCTGTTGCCTGGTTATTTACTGTGTCATCACAGAGTAGGGGCTGGTTTTCCTGTTAGTTGTTCCTTTTGCAGATTCCCTCCCTCCACCCCCAACAGTCAGGGAAGATTAATCTGTTCTCTTCAGAGTAACACAATACTTCACCTATCTTGGGTCTCAGCTAAAGTCCTTCTTGAGCTTCAGGGATGGAATCCTTTCTATTATCCCTTTTACTGGCAGTATTTGTCCCAGGACCCTAATCCCCAGAAAACACATGAAGACATTTCATAGCAGCATCTGAACTGGGCATAGCTTCCGGTGATATTTGGCCATCCCAGGCAGTTCAGAACCTCCGGCACGAGCACTAAGGATAGGTAGTGTCAGATGTTAGGAGGCACCTCAGAGGGTTTCCAGAAGACAGACTTTTCATACCAGTAGGAGAGACTAATGTTTAGTGATAATCCTTGGGACAAGGTATTAAAATAAACTCTGATGTGTGTGTGTGGGGGGCGGGGTGTGTGTGTGCAAACATTTATTAAGCACTTATATGCCACAGAATGTGCTATGTTTTCACATACATACTATGTTTTTTATTTACACCTCATACAACTCTGTAAAAAAAGTATTATTATTTTTCCCATTTTATAGATGAGAAAATTAAGGCTGAGAGTAATTAAGTAACTTGCCACAGGTCACACAGCTAATAAGTGCAGAGCTTCGAATTGATACCAGGCAGCCTTGGCTCTAGTACCCCAGCTCTTAAATACTGTGCTATACTGCATGCCCTATGTACATAGATATATATGTGATGCCTTCATTTTTTGAACAAACCTCTTGTGACCTTCCTCAGAATGGCCCATTTCCTCTTCCCTAAATATAGCAAGTCATGCCCTACACCAGCTCTCCTGTTACTCTGTCACACGTAGCAGCAGTGCCTGCTGAGTGTAATGGTAGAAGGGCTGTTGTGGCCCAGGAGCTTAAGGAGCATGTGCAAAGCTCCCTTCAGAAGCTTGCCCAGCATTGCCATTGAGACCTCATGTGCTTTTGGGGGACTGTGAGTTCATGAATGGAGTCAAGTTACATGCTCTGATTCGGACAGAAGCCGATGCCTTTGTGAGGACTGCTGGGATGGGTAGTTGCCTTCTGCTGACTTCAGAGTATTTCCTGGAGTCTGCTCAAGTGTGAGCTGACTGCAAAGCCTGCTGGAGTTACAGTTCATATTAGAGTCAGAGTAGATAGCAGGTACACAGAATACTTGCTCCATGTTGCTCCTTTCCCTTAGCAGAAAGAGTAAGAGGGGACTGAAGTGAAAGGAGAGCTAAAACATTTATAAGCTCCTTGTGTCAGCTTGTATTCTTAAAAGCAAGCAAACAAGCAAGCAAACAACTGTTAGGTGCTACTGTGTACCAGTCCCTGAACTAGATAGACTAGACACTGGATAACCAAAGGAAACAAAACAGACATGTTCCTGACCTCTTGGGGTTTAAAGTCTAGTGAAGAAAGACAGAAGAATAAAAGGAACATGCACACATACATACAGACAGACATAATTATCATTGAGAAAAGTACTAAAAAGGTGAAGACTTCTTTGTGCCCCACGGAGATCCAGAGTGAAAGCTCTGAGGAGAGCTCAATGACAGGTGCGTTTGGTGGCTGCAGCCCGGAATGCCACTCCTTCTCAGTCCATACATGATTGTTTCCATGTTTCCTCTGGCTTTGAACAGAAAAAGTTAATTTTTTCAGCTTTATTGAGATATAATTGATATATAACTCTGTGTAGATTTAAGGTGTACAATGTGATGATTTCATACGTGTATGTAATAGAAATGGATTACCACAATAGGGTTAGCCAACACATCTGTCACATGACATAGTTATCTTTTGTGTGTGTGTGTGAGAAAATTTAAGATCTACTCCCTTGACAACTTCATATGTATAATACAGTATTGTTAACTATAGTCACTGTACTGTACATTAGATCCCCAGAGGTCATTCATCTTACTACTGGAGTTTGTAACCTTTGACTAAGGTCTATCCACTCTCCCCAGACCCCAGCCCCTGGCAACCACCATTCTACTCTCTGTGTCTATGAGTTTGGCCTCTTCCAATTTCACATGTAAGTGAGATCATACAGTATTTACCTTTTTCTGCCTGCCTTATTTGACTTAACCTCATGTCTTCAAGGACTATCACGCTGTTGCAAATAGCAGGGTTTCCTTTTTATGGATGAATAACATTCTACTGTATCTATATCACATTTTCTTTTTTCTAAAATGATTTACTTTTTAAAATATATCTTAATGATTTTTTACAGAAAGGAAGGGAGAGGTAGAGAGTTAGAAACATCAATGAAAGAGAACCATCGATCAGCTGCCTCCTGCACACCTCCTACTGGGGGTGTGCCTGCAACCAAGGTACATGCCCTTGACCAGAATCGAACCTGGGACCCTTCAGTCTGCAGGCCAACACTCTATCCACCAAGCCAAACCAGTTAGGGCTCACATTTTCTTTATTCATTCATCTGTCAGTGTACACTTAAGTTCTTTCCATGTCTTGGCTATTGTGAGTAACACAGAACAGCAATCTTTTTTAAAAATTTGTTTTTATTTGTATTGATTTCAGAGAAGAAGGGAAAAGGGGGGAGAGAAAGAGAGAGAGAGAGAGAGAGAGAGAGAGAGAGAGAGAGGCATTAATGATGAGAGGGAATCATTGATTGGCTGCCTCCTGCACACCAGATCAAACCTGCCATGTGCCCTGATCGGAATCGAACCCTGACTTCCTGGTTCATAGGTCGATGCTCAACCACTGAGCCACGCTGGCTAGGCACAGAACAGGTACTCTGCCCTCGATCCACTTCTACCCCATACTCCTGTAGGGCTTCTGAGGTGACTAAAGTAAGTCAGCCTGGGAAATCGGCCCTGTTCCAGCCCAGCTTCTGTGGAAAACGTCTGCCCATCATGAAAATGCCAATATCACTTAGTAAGCAACTTGTAGACCTGCTCCACAGCTCTGAGCATAGGAGCTGCAAGGGAAAGGTCATCGAAACAGGCAGCTGTGCGTGTGTATTAACCACTCATCAAAATCAAATGACAAAACGATAAGCCAGGAAAACAGAAATTAAAAATATAAAAGGCAAATGCCTTCAAAATTTTATTTTTAAAGTCCAGCTGTTATTTGGCTTGAATATGACAAGACAGCATTTCTTGTTCACCGTGATATTTATAAAACTACAAATTCATTGGTGCTGGGGGTTTAGGAAACACGTTTAAGGTCTTGTTATTCTTTGAAGCAGTTGAAGGCTTCATATGTTTTGAGCAACAAAATTGGTTAGCTCTTATATGGGACATGCAAGGAGGAGAGGTCTCGATTAGCTGAGACTGTCACCATGTATTAAGAATGACAAACAGCCCTAACCAGTTTGGCTCAGTGGATAGAGCGTCGGCCTGCGAACCGAGGGGTCCCAGGTTCGGTTCCGGTCAAGGGCATGTACCTTGGTTGTGGGCACATCCCCAGTGGGGAGTGTGCAGGAGGCAGCTGATTGATGTTTCTCTCTCATCAATGTTTCTAACTCTCTATTCCTCTCCCTTCCTCTCTTTGAAAAAATCAATAAAATATATATTTAAAAAAAAGAATGACAAACAGCTGTTTAACTTTTTATAGACTTTTCATATAGCATTTTCCCTCACCTTGTTCTCCTAAGGCAAGAGTGCAATTCTTATCCCAACTCTCCTAATTTCAAGGTTGCAAAGTACAGTAGAAAGGGCTCTGGTCCAATTATTGGGATATTTGGAATTAAGCTCTTTTGCTAAATAATGGCAAACAAGGGACTAATTCCTCTGGGTTTAAGTTTTTATCTTTTATTTTTTATTATATTATTTATTTTTATTTTATTCATGCTCTTTTCACTTCCACCTTCCCTCCACTACTACCCTCAACACCCCCCCCCCTACCCCCCCCACACACATACACACCACCACCACCACCACCACCACCACCACCACCAGCACCAGTACTGTCTGCCTGCTCTCTATGAGTCTGTCTCTATTTTGCTTGGTAGTTCAGTTTGTTCATTAAATACCACATATGAGTGAAATAATATGGTACATTTTTTATCTTTTAAAAGAGGTATGTTGAGTTCCATTATCTCCACGGTCCCTTCCAAACCCAAGATGTCATTAGGGTATTCATAAAACAGAGTGTATGTTTCCTATAAGAAAGGTAGTCTTTCCACACTACTTCCACGTAGTCTCCCCCCACCCCCCCCAGAAAAATAAAAGAGAAGATCGGTACCTTCAGGAGTACATGTGCCACTTGCTGAATCAGGTTTTCAAGTCCATAGATCTTGTCTTCTTGTTGA